CGTCGTTGGGGCTGGCGGGCCCAGGGTGCACGTCGCACGCGGTCCGTCCCTCGAGGTACCTAGGACAACCAACCTGCTAATCGTACCCATGGATGATAAATGGGAAAAACTTTGCAATTCCAAGGATACTAGAGATGCGCTCGTAAGCGCTGTAAAACCTTCCGATTTCGACCTTAGAGTCAAGAGGATCTCTTCGGCGCGCGGAAACGGGGTGCGCATTGAGGCTCATTCTGTCAACCTGACCAAGATGATGGCCTCGTCTGAGCTGGCCAAGGCCGGACTCAGAGTGGAGCACGAAACCAAATTCAACCCTAGGTTAATTAAACACGGAGTCCCATGCAGACTGACTACTGCAGAGGTTGAATCTGAGATAGTGGCTTTAAACCTGACTAACCACGACGGCGCGGAGGTGAAGGTCGTCTATAGGTTTCCTCCGAAAAAAGATCGTTCGACCACGAGTTACATAATAGAGGTCTCGCCTGATGTTCGCAACCTTTTGCAAAAAGAGAAGCACATCTATATTAACTATTCTGCGTGCCGTTTCTCCGACCAGGTCACAGTGCTTCAATGTTTTAAATGTCTGGCTTTTGATCACTGTGCAAAGGACTGCAAGTTGTCTGCGCTCTGTGGGCATTGTGCCGATGAGCATGAATTGAGGGACTGCACTAGAAGAGGGGAGGCTGCCAGCTGCGGTAACTGCAGGAGATGGCACACGAACGAAGAGCGTTCTCATTCGGCTTTGGATGGCGATAAGTGTTCTATTTTACGCCGCAAGCTTTTGGACAGGATCAAACTCATCAACTATGGGTAGCTCCGCCTTCGATCTCCTGCAAGTGTGCCATGTTAACTGCCAGTCTCTATTCACCCACCTGGACGAATTTCGTTCTTTTTTCTTGGCATCAAACTATCATATCATCTGCTTATCTGAGACGTGGATGAAGCCTTCGTTGTCTGATCATCTTGTGGAGCTCCAGGGATATCAGCTTTTCAGATGCGACAGGACTGGAAGAGGAGGGGGCGGTGTTGCATTCTACGTATCAAATGCACTACAGGTCAAGATCATACAGCAGTCGGAAGGTGAATACTGCAGAAAGCCTGAATTTCTCATAGCTGAGATATCTTTTAGCACCGGCTCCAGGTTGCTCTTGGCGGTCGTATACCGGCCACCTCACTGCGGCTATCTCGCTGACTTTTTCAACATCTTTATGGAACTGTCAGTCGAGTATAGACACTATTATCTTCGGTGATTTCAACACTGACATGGGCTCAACCACCTTCGATTCTGAATAGATCTTATCATTCGTGGAATCTTTTAGCTTGTTTCTCGTGCCGTATGGGCCGACTCATCATTTACCTAATTCCTCCACGACCTTGGATTTATGCATAATTGATGATGATGAGAAGCTAGTTTCTTTTGGACAGCAGGATGTATGCTTCCTTTCTAACCACGATCTGATCAGCATTAAATACAATATTAGGATCGAGCGCCACCAGAGGCGAGCTATTAGAGTGAGGGATTTCCGCTCCTTCAGCGTGGATGATTTCCGCAACGATCTTTTATCGCGTGATTGGAACTCACTTCTGTGCGCTCAAGATGTAAATCACAAGATCTGTATATTAAATAACTTCCTTTTGGAATGCTATGACAAGCATGCTCCGCTTAAGAATATCAAACCCAGGCATCTACCAGCGCCCTGGCTAATTGAGGACATTAGGGCTGCGATGAGAGAGAGGGACAGGGCGAGAAGGGTATGGAGGAGGCCTAGAACTACTGCCAATTATTCAGCGTATAGGACCCTGAGAAACGGCGTACAGGTGGCTGTGCGCAATGCCAAGCGCGATTGTTATTGCAGTGCCTTTTACAACATAAAAGATCCCAACGACATTTGGAAAAAACTGCGGCATCTTGGCCTCATCAAGCATAAATCTTCGAACTTGAAGCTCCTCTTCTCAACTGAAGAGCTGAATGATCACTTCTTGCATAATGCGAGAGCAGAGGAGGTTCTTGATAATGTCCACCTGGGTGACCAATCTTATAACGACACTAAGTTCTACTGGCACAACATCGAAACTCAGATGGTAGCCAGAGCGCTGGCACGAAACAAATCTGGAGCTGTGGGGATAGACGGGCTGATCTCGAAACTGATTTCACTCGCCTTGCCGTGCATACTGCCTTTTGTTACGCACATATATAATTACTGCATCTCCAACTGTGTATATCCGGATACTTGGAAGTCCGCCCTAATCTGTCCGTTGCCAAAGGTTAAATGCCCTACCAATCTCCAACATTACAGATCAATATCAATTTTATGTTTGCTTTCTAAAGCGCTCGAGCGCATTGCGGCGGAGCAGATCACCCATCACCTCGAGACTTTCAATCTGTTTGATCCACAGTAGACTGCATACAGGAGAGGCTTTTCAACACAGACTGCATTAATAAGGGTAATGGATGAAATACGGCATACGGCTGATCGAAGAAAAGTAACCATCGCAGTGTTCTTCGATTTCACGAAAGCCTTTGACAATGTCAATCATCGCATTCTCATACACAAACTGAGACAGCTCAACTTTTCCTGCGAGGCGTTAAGATGGCTGTGTGCCTACTTAGACGGAAGACGGCAGGCCGTGCGTGATCCTATCACTGGCGACAAATCTCCTATGAGGTTGGTTACGAGGGGTGTGCCTCAGGGATCTGTCCTGGGACCTCTGCTATTTGTCCTCTACCTATCTGATTTTGGCGGGATATTGGAGCACTGCAACTATAACTTTTACGCTGACGATCTGCTAATTTATCTGCATGCAGAACCTTGTGACCTACAGAGTGGGATACGCAGGGTGAATGAAGATATAGAAAACATTGTGAGATGGTCAGATAGTAATCAGCTCACGTTGAATGCTAACAAAACAACTTCCATGATTCTTGGAACTGCGAGATACATCAACAATATTGAATTTGAAGATCTACCCGGAATATCAGTGGATAATACTATCGTTCCGTATATGGATTCTGTTGTTTATCTAGGCGTCACTATATCTCAAACACTATCGTGGGATAAGCAAGTAGCCAAGACTGTTTCCAAAGTTAACGCCGCGTTATATCAACTAAAGCTATGTGGGCATCTTTTTACTCAATCTTTGCGCGCACGTCTGGTCACTACTTTGATTTTTCCGTTAATTGATTATTGCTGCACGATTCTTACGGATATCACGGGTGAGCTCAATCTAAAGCTCCAACGGGCATGTAACGCGAATGTCAGATTCGTCTGTAGGGCTGAACGGGATGAGCATATCACTCCATATTACATCGAATTAGGTTGGCTGAAGACAAACGCTAGACGAAAGTATTTTGTTGGCTGTCTAACTTTCAATATCTTGCAATCGAAACGACCCTATGACCTTTTCAACACTTTCACGTTTCGTAATGTCGTATCTGAGCGAAATACGAGGGCGTCTAGCGACCTGCTCGCTTTACCTCCGTGTCGTACGGAACTCTTTAGGCGATCGTTCAGATGCTGTGCCCCGCGGCTGTGGAATGAAATACCGAGCGACGTTCGATCTTGTTCTACGCGTAACGAATTTAAGATCAAATTTTTCGATTACCTACTCTGCGGCGGCAACTGAACTCAGTTCTCACATGTTTCTGCACTATAATCTTACTCATGCCTTGTTCGCATCGTCACCTCATGTATACATACTTGAACATACACACCAATCTGCACGCATTCTCTCATACCCACACACACACACTCACACACACACACTCACTCACATACTAAAACATACACTTGTACACACTCGTTTACTCACTCTTTCACACTTTATATTATTTATCGATATGTATTATTTAATTCTTTCTTTCTTTTTATTTTGTAAATGATTATTATTTATTTTGTCACATTTTCATACTGTATATAGTGCTGTGCGCTTAAGGGGATTCTATCCCGGAGCGTCAAATAAATATTGATTCTATTCTATTCTATTCTCTTTTAGTATATAAAAAGTAAAAGAAGGTGGCCGCACTTATATATGGCACGACACCCTGTTTATGTATATAGTATTGTTACGCCCGTCCCTGTGTACTTCTTCTCTGCGAGTCGTCTGCGGTAGTTAATCCTGAAGTTGCTCCTGTCTCTAAGAGATCATCTCCAAACACGTTGCTAAGGGTTGTTGTTAAACAACGGCGGACATCTTGAGAGATATCGGCCATTTTGAAAGTCTCGCGTCGGTGGTGATTCCGATCGGACGTATTGGCTGATTTACGAGACTAACTGTTCTGTGCTTTGTGTTCTTTGTTCTAAACTGTTATTAAAGTTCCTTTCATTCTTTTAAAAGAGTTTATTATTTACTTCGCGGTACGCGAGTGTCGGTTGTGTCAGACGCGTTCGAGTAATTTCGAAGTCGACGCGCGAGCGCAACAGTATTATAATTCTTTAATATTTGAAGAAAAACACAACATATTATGTGCAAAAATGTTTGTGTCTTAAATATTTATACAATAAAATCTCTAGAAATAGTACACTTTGAAATAGGAAACAGCACTCCTTTCTTACACGCTAGGCCATTCCCGAATGGGGCTAAAGGATCCAAGCATATAGATCTGTGGACGCTATGTCTTCTTTTGCCGGTATACTTGAAAATATGTGTTCGTGCATGTTTCACGCGTCTGTACGGTCCGGAATTTAACCGTGTGAAGTTAGCCCCACTTTTTACATTTCGTATTTTTATTGATTGTGTTGTATTGTGCTACGTTTGTGCTGTTTTGTGCCGTAAGCTGCAGTTCAATAACTTAAATATTCGAGAAAATTTAGGAAATACAATTTTTACTAGCTTTGCACTTTGTCGTAATCGAGCTCATTTTTTTGGCAAACTGGAAAGTTCGTCTGGATTTGACGATAGTGATTTAACTTCATCACAGTAGACCAGAGCCTTGTACAGTCTACTATTTCGAGGTTCCATTGTAAATCGCATATTTTAGTCTTATTTTGCAATCTTTAACGTACCTATTCCAATTATAAACTTCAAGGTTGATGTGTATAGCCTCTTTAATCAGGCCACTTTGTAATAATATACCTTCTGCTGCCAACAAATCTCCCGCCAGTAGTGCCATTTCTGCACATCTTTCTGTAGTATTAGGCAAACTCTGCAAATTTTATACCGATTTAATTATTTAAAATTTATTTCAATAAATTTAACAAAATAACGGGAATAGTATAATATAAAAATAGTTATTTTGTTTTACCTTAATGTATTTGATATAATCTACTATATCAAATCTGCCTATTGCTGCATATGCTTCTTCGGCAGCGTGAAGTTCTTTATTATCAGTTGCCATGACAGCCATACAAGTCCACAATATTTCATTCTAATAACAATGTAAAACAATATACAGGGTATCCCATTTTAAAAGTTCCACCCTCATAACTTTTCAGGATCAACGTTTGAAGGAAAACGACTCGGATAAAAGTTGTAGGGAACAAAAAGAGCTATCTAATAGTGACCTTGGATTTGACATTAAAGGTCCTTTTCAAGGTCATTTGAAGGTCAATTTTATTTTTTTAAATGGGAACCCCTATTTCTCATTACGTATTCTTGTAGTTTACCTCGAGAGCTTTCCAAAACACTATAATAAAGTATTTTTTCATTAAGTACTTTTTGAGTTATTTTATATTTTAATCTGACATATTTTGATATAAAAGATAAAATATCTCGTAAAATATTTAGTTTTCGATAATCTTACCGTAATACTTTTAT